GCTGGCAGCGTCTGACCCTGCGATCACGGGTGGGTGCCAGGGGCACAACGGAGACACACGCACGGCTCCGGTTTGTGCTGGAGTCGGTGCCCTCGGCTCTGGTCTCCCCCAACAGAAACTGCAGCCGTTTATTGGAAGAAAAAAAAAACCTTTTGGCAGCTGGGTGATTAAAAAACCCAAATCAGTCCCTGGCAAGCACCCCGAGGTATTGGCCCTGAAGTGTGGAGGTGGTAGCATGGGATACCTAACAGCACGTAAAGATTCAAAAGTGTCTTCTGACCTAGAAGGGATGAAGAAGCCAGCAGGACCCGCTGGGTCCTCTGACCTATTGCCTCCCGCTTGCCAAAGGGCAAATTGCCATGGGTCCAAATGGGGTTGCCCCTGCGAAGGCAGGGACCTGGGCTGCACGGAGGTCAGCCCAAACAACCCTGGAGCGGAGGGGCGAGACCGCTGGCTGTCCCAGCCCGGGTGCAGCCTTTTCCCTTGGCTTCTGCTCACACCCTCCATCCCTGGCTGCAGATTGCTGGAAAAATCATCCAGCGCGTCCTTTCCGTGCCTCTGGCTGCTTTCAAAGCAGGCAGCTGAGGGCTATTGCAGGCAGGTTTTGTTGCTTTTTATTTGGCTTTGCAAAATTTTGCTTTTTATCGACTGGTGCGGAGGCTGGAGCCCGGCAGTCGGTGCCACCGGCTGGGCTTCGCCGCAGACCTGCTGGCCCGTGGGTCACTGCCCGCCTGCCAGGCGAACGCAGGGTCTCGGCGGAGGGGAGGCAGAGCACGGTGCTGGCTGTCTCTTTAAGGCAGAAAAGGGAACTCTCTGGCTGCTACTTTGTGGAGTTCAGACCAGATCCCTGTTTTCATTAGCATTTCATTTCATCTCCTCCTCTCCCCCCTTCTCCAGCCCCACCTCCTCCGAATCGGCATTTCTGCATCCTTTTCTGTGCATCACGGAGCAGCAGGTAAAACTCTGCCTGGTGCCCGCACACACACACACTCTCACACCCTCACACCCCTGCATGCCGGCCGCACCTCTGCCAGGGGGGAGACACCTTCCCACACTCCTGCGTCTCGCATCTTCCTCCTCACGGGTGAGCTTGGCTGGGAGCATCCCCGTCCTCGCCTCAGGGCTGCTCTGCCTCTCCTTGCTGTCTCTGCCTGCAGCAGCAGCAGAGCTCGGGCACAGAGGAGCTCAGTGGGGCCCCGCTCCCCCAGGGGACAGGGCTCTGCAGGCAGCCAAGCCCAGCTGGGGGGCGAGAAGTGATCCTCGGGGGTCCAGAGCATCCCCGGCATCTCGAGCATCCTGGAGTCCAGAGCATCCTGGGTCCAGAGCATCCCCAGCATCTGAAGTATCCTGGAGTCCGGAGCATCCCAGCATCTGGAATATCTTGGGGTCTGGAGCATCCCAGCATCTGGAGCATCCACAGCATCCTGGGGTCCAGATTATTCCCTGGTCCAGTGCATCCAGAGCATCAGAGCATCCAGAACATCCTGCCGTCCAGAGCATCCCTGGCATCTCCAGCATCCTGCCGTCCAGAGCATCCCAAGCCTCCCTGGTGTCCAGAGCATCCCCAGCATCCAGAAGCAGCCTCCAGGGACATCCCAGAGCAGGGGGATTCGAAGGGATGAGGAAATGCCTGGCTGTGAGTAACAGGGAGGGGAACCTTGCTACTGCTGATCGGCTCCTGGGAATGTCACTCTGCCTGGATTGCCAGTGAAGAGAGAGAGTCGGGGAAGAGAGGGAGAGGAGGAGGAGAGGAGAAAGGAGGACGGACACATAGCGGAGAGAGCGAGGTGGTACTTCTTCCCCTGGAGCTGGCTCCGGCGATGATCACCTAGGACAGGTCACAGCCGGCGAAGGTCCCCCCAGCTCCAGAGCCAGCCGTGCCGCCCGGCTCCTCATGGAGGGCGATTTGGGGGCCCCCAACGCCAGTGTGCTGGGGGAACGCTCGCTGCTGGTGGGGAGCAGCTGGGTGGCTGCTTTCCTCTGCTTCATCATCCTGCTGACCACAGCAGGGAACTTCCTCCTCATCCTCCTCATCGTCACCCAGCGCTCCCTCCGCAACACCTCCAACTACTTCCTGGTGTCCCTCTTCATGTCCGACCTGATGGTGGGACTGGTGGTCATGCCCCCGGCCATGCTCAACCAGCTCTACGGCCGTTGGGTGCTGCGGGGCGACTTCTGTTCCCTCTGGTACTCCTTCGACGTCATGTGCTGCAGCGCCTCCATCCTCAACCTCTGCGTCATCAGCTTGGACCGCTACCTGCTCATCATCTCCCCCCTCAAATACAAGCTGCGGATGACCTCTTGCAGGGCCCTCTGGCTCATCCTGGCCACTTGGACCTTGGCTGCGCTGGCCTCCTTCCTGCCCATCAAGATGGGTTGGCATGAGCTGGACTTCGAGATCCGGTCCCCAAACGTCACCTCCCGGGGGGACGAGGACCAGTGCCGGCTGCTGGTCAGCTTGCCCTACGCCTTGGTGGCCTCCTGCCTGACTTTCTTCCTCCCGTCCGCCGCCATCTCCTTCACCTACTGCCGCATCCTCCTGGCAGCCCGCAAGCAAGCGGTGCAGGTGGCTTCCCTCGCCTCCAACGTGGCCACCGCCACCACCGACGAGACCACGCTGCAGGTAAGGTGGTCACAGGGACGTTGCTCCTTGCAGACCCCCATGATTTGGGTGCCTGGGGTGTTTGTGCTTTCCGGACAGCCTCGGGGCTGGAGCCGGCAAAGGGCTTTGGCAGCCAGACAGCAGGGAGGTTTTGGGCGACATCCACCTCCCTGATGTCCTCCGAGGCGCCTCGTGTCTTGTCGTGGCAATGGTGCGCTTTTAAGCTGCTCAGGAGCACAGAAACAGCACGAGCAGAAGCAGAGAAATAAATTAAGATACAGGGGAAAACGCTCAGCGGTGCAAAATAAATGCAGTTTCACCCCCCTCTTGGCTAGTGTCATCCCAGAGGGTTTTAATCTTATCTGACTTTCCACTCGTAAATCTTGGCCGTGGTGGGCGTGAGCCATACGGAGGAGAAGGAGTTTAAATAATAGCAAATACCAAATTCTGGAGAGCACCGTATTTTGAACAGCCAGCTTCTGTTTTTGTTACCTGGTCTATACTGGGAACTGCAAAATACCTCCTTACTCCAGTGCTGGTTAAACCAGTGTGTGTGGGGGGTTTATAACCAAAATGTGGCTGCACTTGTTTGTATTTCTCTGGGAGAAGGTAATTGCCACTAAATCTAACAGCTTTAATTCCCTGTGAGAGGCTTTATTGACCTCATATCCTATAGGGAAAAACCCAAACTGAATTGCCTTTGAATACCTTGATTTAGTTTGCTGTTCTCTCTCTTTTAAGAAAGGAGCCAGGACTCTCTCGGACCCAGCCAGCTCTCCCGCACGCGATAGGATGTACCTGGCTTTCAAAAGGAAAATGAGAATCAAAGAATAAACAGACAATAGCATAAAAATGTTTATTTTCTCCCCAGATGCCAGGTTTTTGGACTCTACAAACACAACCTGCCGCAGCCCTGTGGCCCCAGGGCTGCCGCACTCAGGGGACTGGGGGATGCTCAAGTGCTTTGCTCTGCCGTGAAAAACCGGGATCCACCCCCCGAGTTTCAGCAGAGACGAGGGTCCCAGGGGGCTCCCAGGAGCCCCGAAGCAGCTCAGGCGGAGGGCGAGCTCCAAACACGGTGCCAGCCAGGGAACCCTCCAGTTTCATCTTTGTAACTGGATTTTTGTTCTCTTTTTGGACAGGAAACTGAGTGGCAACGGGGCCTCGTTTAGTTACGACAGAGGGCTGAGATAATAACTTAATTCGAGATGGCGAGAGTGGATAGAGGACTGAGTTAGTTGTGGTGTTTGTAGGCTGAAATGTTTGACCTCCTGCTTTTGAGAATACAATTAGTTTGCTGCTCTAATCAACAGGTAGAGCTGCCTCTTTAGGGCGGGCTTTATCCTCACCAAAACATTGACTGAGTTGGATTTTTCTATAAAAGAAGCAGCCTAATGATAAAGCCCCTATTTTACAGTAAAAAAACCCCACAAAATACTCTCGATGTTGAGGGTTTCTATTGCCTTCTCTTGCTGATTTGCGGTTCAGGCACTGCGGTGTGCGCCATCCTCCTGCCCCTTGCGAGAAGGGAAATGACGGCGGGGTTTTTGCAGGTTTCGCAGCACCAAACGCCGCTTTTCTTGGGCGGGAGGCTGGCGCTGGGGCCGACGGCTCCAGCCCGGGGAGAAGCTCTCGCTCACCGCCCCATCTCCCGCTGCAGGTTTCCCGCACCCCGAGCCAGCCCGCGGCTGGCAGCGAGAGCCGGAGATTCGCCAACAAGCACAGCAAGAAGGCGCTGAAGGCCAGCCTGACGCTGGGCATCCTCCTCGGCATGTTCTTCGTGGCTTGGCTCCCCTTCTTCGTCACCAACGTGATGCAGGTAAGCACGTATCGAGTTTTTACGTCGGGTTTTCAAAAGCTTTTCTTTTTGAATCGAGCTGGGTGCAATCTCATGTCTTGCGGGAAAGCCTCTGGGACCAAAGATGCAATTTCCCCAGGGAGTAACAGCAGGGAAACCCCCTTTCGAAAGCGTTTTGAAGGGTTCCTTCAAAAGGGAAATGTTGGCATGCCTGGCAAACCCCTCTGGATCGGGGCCAAGGTGGGAGACGCTGCTAATCCTTGCCGTGTCCCCCCCGCCAGGCAGTCTGCAGCTGTGTCCCGGCCGGCTTCTTCGACGTGCTCACCTGGCTCGGGTACTGCAACAGCACCATGAACCCCATCATCTACCCGCTCTTCATGAGGGACTTCAAGAGGGCCATGGGCAAATACCTGCCCTGCTGCCGGCGCTCGGGGGAGCCCCGTCCCAGCGCCATCTCCCTCTCCATGAGGAACTCCAACAGCGGACCCCGCGCCGCCACGTCCCTCAAGAACGTCCTCACCTTGCAGGCCGAGACCGACTCGGTCGATTCTGGGGCGCTGGGGAACGAACGCAGCCTGCTGCCGGCCAGCGACGGCCCCCCGGCTCTCCCGGCCCCCAGCACTCGCTTGGTCAACCTTTTCGACGTGGAGCCCCCGGACGCGGAGCTGCAGCCCAAGCAGCTCGGCGCCCCTGTGGCCTGAGCGAGGGTGTCCGTGGGGCTACGGCCAGGGGAGAGGCCGACGGGGGCGTTACGGACCTCTGTGTCCTGGGGAGGATCCCCCAGCGCAATGCAAACTCTCCAGAGGGCCGATTTGCTGCAAGACGTCTCCCTGCCCGCGCCTTGTTGCTCGATGCCCTCTCCAAACGCAATGCGCATCTCCTTGGAGAAGACGTCGTCCCCGAGCACTTCTGCGGTAGGTTTAAACAGTGCAAAGCCACATTTTACTGCTGAATTCATCTACCTTGTTTCTCTCTCTTTCTGTCCTTCCTTTGCTCACCGTCACCAATCCCTCACCCTTCGCCGAGAGCAGCTTCTCGTGGCCTTTTTGTCTCCGGTTAGTCTGAACCTCCGACTCCAGACCCTTCCGCCAGCCTATGTCTCCCTAAACTTAAACCAAGGCTTGGTTTTCAGCTTCTGCTCACACAGCTCAGCAGATCACCTCGATCTCACCAAGTGCACGGAGAGGAAACCACATCCCGTGACTCATGGACAAGAGGTTTGGGGCTGCTTCAGTCCGCAGGACATCACTCTTGGAGTTTAATTTCATCAACTCTTCCTGGAGTTTAATTTCCTCGCCTGATTTGGACTGTATCTGTCTCGGTTTCTTGTGAAAGCAGCAAATTGCAACACAGTGAAACCATCGTGTTTAATCACGAACAGCCTGCACTACGGGGGATTAAATTTGATGCAAAATGTTCAACGCTGCTTTTTGGCTATTCAGCAAGGGTGTGGGTGTTCAAGTTGTTTGTGGCTCTGTGGGTACCCTGACAGTAGTAAGTAACGAGATAAGCTTCCCTTTAGATTTCATCCTACCGCTCCCTATTTTTGGCATCATACTTTGCTCTGACAATCTGTCAATTTTTAGATGATGCAATTTTACCCCCCCTTCAAATAAGAATCTAAACAAATCTCAGCTTTTAAATGACAGTGCCAGCCCCCCACCCCCCCGTCATAGCCATAAGCAGAGAGCAGAGGCAGTAACGTGGTAAGCGGGCACTTAAAAAACAAATAAAACAACAAATGGTTTTAGCAAATCCTTCCTCAAGTGCCTTTCAGATGCCGAGGTGGGTTGGGAGTTGGTTGCGGCGCCCTCCCTGGCCTCGCACCCTCCGAGCCTTGCAGCCTGTTTCCAAGCTTACACTAACGAGTTTGATTGTGCTCCTGAAACTCAGGATTATCCGGACAAAAGGAATGCGAAGCGTCCCTCGGACACGGGATGCTGGAAGAAGCAGCCGCACGCCAAGTGAGTTTCCTCAGTTTTCTTTCCACCTTGCCCATGGATGTTCCAGAACTGGACCAGACGTGTTGTTACGACTAACTTGGCATTTGTTTGCTACAAACCCCCTTGCAGCCGACGGCTGGCCCTGCAGTCAGTGATAAATGACCGTGACAAATGGAGGACGGAGCCCAGGTTCAAAGGTTCCAACATCAAAGCGTTTAATACATTTTTGCCACATATCTGTGGACAGAGAGCTTGGGGTTGGTATCAAGCATGACGACACTTCGCCACAAGTGGCTTTATATAAAACCACAATTTGACTACAGCTCCAGTTGAAACGGAGTACAAAACACACGATGAACCCCCAAAGTCCCTTCGGTAACCGCATCAGCAGACAGAGGCTTCAGGAGATGGACAAAGAGAGCGAGCGCACTTCTTCAAACCAAAGGTTCCAAAGCAATAATACGTCACTCTCTCATCAAGCCCCTTCTTCGTAAGCAGGTGTTTGCTGGTGGACAAATTCTCTGATGCGGTGGAGTCGTATCCCTTTCCCGCAGCCAACGGCATCAATGCCGACCGGTGAAATTGGCCTGTCCCTGTGTCATCCCAGAGCCTGTCCCAGGGACTCCCCCACCGCCAGGCACCGTTCCAGAAGCGGAGCTTAGCAGCTCTGAGCCCCCCTCGGCAGCAGGACGCGGGGAGAGGGAAAGCCAGGCACCGTAGCCAAAACCGCAGGGCATTGCCAGGTTACACGGCCACCCCCAGAAACAGCCGTACGGTTTTGGAAGCCCCTGCATGGCAGGGGATGTAAAGCAGGGTCCCTCCCTCCAGTTTGAGACGGGGGGAGAAGAGAGTGGGTGCCAATTCGCTTTTACGGAAGGAGGTAGAAATCAAACAGATTCATGTTTATCCTATGCCAAGTATTGGTTTTATTCTAAGGCAATTAAAAATACATCTGGAGGGGACTTTTAAGGCTGGAGATGTGTGTGGGACACAAAACGAAAGTCTCTGTGGGTTGCTGGCTTGCAAAGCCTGGGAGGAAGTTTCACAAAGTAGTAAATCATAAAAAGCCCACTCTGTTTCTTCTGCTGTCTTTCACCTAGGGTCTCAAAGCGTGTTTCTAATTGTAAGGAGGCCTCGATCGCTCATCGCCCTCAGCTTGCAGATAGGTAAAGAGTCTTGTAGACTGGAAGGTGCCCGAGCCCTGGCAGCAAACCTGCACAGCCTGGGGAAAGAAGCCAGGTAGCCCGAGCTTTCGCCTCCCTGGTCAGCAGAGCCGAAGCACGGAGGCTGAGGCGTACACGGGTGGGCAGCCAGAGCCTGCAACAACCCCGCTGACGTGAAAACCAAAAACCAAATCGACCACTGGTGGAAAAATGTTTTTAATTTCCTAGTGACCAGCCCCTTCTCCATGATATGCCTGAAAATACCCACACAGCCACCTGCTTTCCTAGAAGTTACGTAGCAGAGACAGAGTCCCTAACGGTGACAGCTGCTTCCCTCGAGAATAAACCCCGTTTGTGCGAGGAGGGAATTGCCGCCGCTTCCTGAGGAGCAATGCTGATTCAGGCAGGAATCAGCCCTTTCTCGTCCGTGGGAGATGCGGTGGGCGGCTGCTCTGAAAGCTTTGATCCAGTGACACGCCGGTGCAATGCTCCAGGCTCTCTGGAGGGTCTGAAAACTGCAGCTACAGCTCTGCCGGCTCTACCGATACTCCTTTGGGAATCCCAGTGTGACGGACGGTGCTTTGAAAGCAGTTTTAGTGCTGGCTGAGCATCTCTGCCCAACACGAAGAGCTCTAGTTCGCTCCTTCGCCCGCTGCCTGTTTCTTGCTGTCCTCGCTGTTGGAACAGTCTGGACAGGGGAGCGAGGTTTCTCCCAAGAGAGAGCTGGGGGAATCACGGTGCTGAGCGTGGCTGGCTGGGAGAGCCTCACCGTCAGCCGCATCCTCCTCTCGCACCGTGTTTTCCTCTTCCCGAGTCTCGCTGCCTGCTGCCCGCTGTGATTTCTTGGCTCGAGGAGAGAAAAGACTGCCACTGCCCTTCTCTTCCAGTCGACATTCCTTGGTTTTAATGCCCACAGCTTTTAGGATCGTGTCCATTTGCTTCATGTAGTCCAGGTGGCCATTTACCTGCAAGCAACAACAAGAGTCTCATTAGTGGGGAAGCTGCAGGGAACCCAGCTCAGTCACGTCCTTCATCTCAAAAGCCACCACCGTCATGAGACTTGGTTTTAGCCCTGAAAGGCTGAAGGAATGAGGTCTGAAAAACGCAGTTGTCCATTGAATAACCTGAACTGGCTGCACCCTTTGGGGCACACGCTACTGCTGGATTACTTTTCCTCTAAGATGTGTACGTTTAAGTGCTTGGACATTGCTGAGTTACAAAACCTCAGATTCTGGGCGCCACAAGGGTAAGAGAGGAGGTGATCTGCCACGGTGAGGGACACCCAGGTAGGAGACAAGTTGTCTTAGCCCAACTCCCTGTTCTCTCCTAAATCACGTGTCCTCCCTGTCCCTTAGCTCCCTTGGAAAAGATTATCTTATTTAAATTAGGATATTAAATCTCACAACAGCTACCAAGCGTGTTAAGGTTCTTGGCTGGAAGGTGCACTGATCTGTCTCACACCATATAAAACTGAGACCCTGTGAGTTACGGGTTCATAAACCAAATTAAAGTCAACAATATGTGCAAAACCCACACATTTTTATTGTAAGGTGATTTCCGTAAGACAGACCCTTCTGAGATGGATGTTGGAATGATGTACCCTTCCAGTCAGGGCACAGGAGGGAGAGAAAACCTCCTCTGCAGGTTATTATTGTCATATGCTAAAGGCTACCTGGCAGGAAAGGCAGAACTGCCTTCTCTGTTTCAGGTGTCCTGCACAAGCTGAGCGTTTGAAATAACGACGGCCAAGATCCTTCTAGAGAGCAGCCTTCAGATCTCCTTTGCTGCTGCCCTCCCCGCCAAAAGGGGAGGAAGCGCTTGTGAGCACAAGGTGGATCTATAGGGGGTTTTTCTGTGGAGAGGAAAAGTGTGGTCAGGCTGTGTCGAGGCTATTTCGATGGTACACTCACCAGCTGGCCCACAGATTTCAGCAAAGGCTAACGACTATGATTTGCATCCTAAGATATTTTAGCATCTTTGATAAATTCAATTTCTAACAGTTTAAATCCTTCCTGACCCAGCCAGAAAGCTGTCTCGGGCAACACTGCCTCTTCTTTTCCCAAATCCTGCTAGTAATTAGGGAATTTCCACAACAGGGAATCCCCAACACCGCAGTTCCAGGTTTTCTGCTTCCCAGCCACGTCTACGAGTGCCCCGGGAAGGGGCTGTCTGCGCGTTCAAGGCGTACAAGACAATCAGAGCGTTTTGCAGAGCTCTGCAAAGAAACCCGGCCGTGGACCCTCTGCTCGCCTCCCCGCTGGCCCTGACAGGCTGGCTGGTGCCTGGGCAGTCCTTCCTCGCTATGCCAGCAAGCAGGGTTACCAGCACGCCTCTCCCCAAACCTAAAGCAAAGCCTCCTCTCCCACACGGGCAAAATTCAAACCTCCTAGCTGTTTGCGTGAAGCAGCTTTTGAGTGGTAACATTTGGATGCACTTAGGAGTTGGAGCAAAATGAAGGATTTAATCAGCACGTTAGTAATGCAATATGTGACTTTAATCAGACCAGATGGCTCAACAGGCTCTTGATGTTTTGAACAGATTAGTTAATTAAAATAACCATTGAAAGACCAATGGACTGGCTGTTCAGATGTGTACATTGTTCTCTGAAAAAGTATGAACGTTTTACTACTCAGTAGGGGGGCCTGGTGCTAAAGAAAGAAATGAGCACAGCGTTGGACAAGGTGGAGAGAAACAAGAAGGAAATGGACTTACTGGGAGGGGTTGCCGAAGTCCCTTGGTTTGCTGTAGTCTGAAACCTCTGCAGTCATCACAATCTACCTGCCCTGGTCAGTGCTTAGGGATTTCTCGACCTGTTACATTACCCAGTCGTTAGTCAGAGAGAACAAATTTCCTCTGCCGCCCTAAGGACTACATTTTCGTAACTCCTCAGTATCCAGCAGCTTCCACTAAAACAATGGGGAATTCCTCTTCCTTCAGCACCGCGATCACTGAGAGATGCTGGGTATGAGCAACTCTGAAGAGCTGAGCCTTTCCTCATGCAGCTAAAAGAGAAGCTGAGACCTCCTGAAAGTCTGTCCCTTACTGGTCTGCTAATACCACTAAATCTCCTCAAAGGAAACTCACTTCTGTTTCCAGGATAGCCCAGGAGAGGATTCCATAAAGCCAGACCAGTGCAAGAGAAGCGTACCCTGGCGAAGCGTACGAGGATGCAAGACTCTTTCTCTGCTATACTGTGACATTAAGTACTGAGCCATCAGCTAAGGAACAGCGAACAAAGTGCTGTGCCACTTTAAAGCTGTGAAGCCATCCTGGTGGGAAAATTCAGCAATTCCATCTCTCAAAAGCCTGTTTTCATCTGCAATCTGAAAAGCTGAATTCCTCCACTGGGTAGGCCAGGCTGGAGATGGGATGGGAACATCTGAAACATTGTAAGGGACAATAAAAGCTTCAAAGGGAAATAAAAAATTGTTTGAATGTTTCTCAGAACAAAGTGCAGGAGGAATTTCAGAATAAATGGAATAGAAAAGTGTTCTTGTAACCAAAGCAAACATATTTATGCTTGTTACAAGGGAATGAAAACAGTGGGGTAGGTTTATCGGTGTCCTTAAGTGACTTCCGCCCTGTTATATCTGATTTTATGGTTGCTTTGACTCATTGGAAAACACAAGCCAGCTGCCTATATCACTAATTCTGCTGCAGGACTACAGCACCGCACCGGAGGATCTCCAAAGGACTGCAGATGATGGCATTGCTCAGGTGGACCGATCAGTCAGCTGAAAGGAGCCGTCAGTTCAGTAAGCTTGGAAAGGTTTCCAAGTTCAAATCCACCCAAAAGTATCAAAAATGTCATTGAGCATAATCAGCTGCATCTATTAAATTCAAACGGAAGTCTTTTTGTTGGGTACAATAAGTGCCTCTGGTTACGGTGTCATAAAAACACAGTTCAATTTATGGGAGCTTTGAAAACAAACTATGCCACCCCTGGGCCTGCAACCAACTCACTGGTGGCCACTGCAGCAGGGCGAGCTGTGAGCTCTGCAGCAGCGATGCTGCTCTCCGTATTAATGGCAGCAGTTCTAGGTGGCGAGGGACCGGGGACAGAGACCAGCGCGTCTGAGAAGAGATGATGATGGAGTCAATTTGCAGTTACCACGCAGCTCTCCCCATTAGCAGTAAGCCGGTGCAATCTCCACGGCTCTACTCAGTTGCCTTTGAGGTTGGTTTTCGCCAGCGTTGTGAAAGAACAGATAAAGCACCAACACAGGATCCATCCAGCTCTTTAGGATGGAGGAAGAATCCCAACTTCTCTCAGGTTTTGAGCTACAGGAACGCAAGGTGTACCCCCATAGCCCAGAGGGGATGCTTGGGGGGCCTGCCAAGTGGCGGACAGAGAGAGGACCTGGGAGAAAGGAGACACTGTGTACGATCCTGGCCCTGCCATGGACTCACATGAGCACAGGCCAAGGCTCTTACTCCATCACAACACTGGCTATCACAATGACATTACTCTGCTCCATATGGCAGAAGTTGTCTTTGCTCCCTCCAGAGCCAACCGTTTTATGATCCTGTCCAGTTTCCTTCAAAAAGAGCTCCTCCACCGATCCCAAGCAGCCAAGGCAAAAAGCCCACACTGGCCACAAAGCCCGGCACAGCTCTAAGAGCTCTTTGCTTTGCGGGGCTGCGTAATTTGCAAGAGCTCAGCTGAAAGCCCCTTGGCTTCTCTGCTGCCTGCGGGGAGAGAGGAAGGACAGAGCAGCTGGGCTGTGCCTTCCTCCTGCTCTCCTTGACCAGACATCTGACGGATTCACAGAGAATTTCTGAGGAACAAGGGAGGCACGCAGCGCGAGCGGAGGGTGCACAGGTACCCTCTGCAAGTCACAGCAGCGCAGGTCATTAATACGCCTGAGAATTTCACCTCTGATTTGTTTCGAGCCCATCACCTCCAAAGAGCAACTTCATTGTGCAGGAAAAAGATACCCGCAAGTTAAAACGTCCCTCCAGAGCTTCGT